ACTAAAATATTATTTATTATGTATACAGCATTCTGCCTGCATGTATGCCCGCAGGCCCAAAGAAGGCACCAAATCTCATTATAGCTGGTTATGAGCCACCATGTGGTTGCTGGGAATTGAACTCAGGACCTCTGGAAGAGCAGTCAGTGCATTTAACCTCTGGAGTCATCTCTCCAGTCCCAGAGCAGTCATGTTCTAAGCTGTGTTGTACACATGGAATTGAGTTAATTAACAGGAAATGTTTTTACAAGTTGTGCTGTGCTTAAAGAAACTACTTGGGGTCAGACTCTTTAAAGTTTGAACCAATATCAACTCCTGAGTCGTGTCGAAATGAATTTCCTTCTTATCTTCCCAGATTGACACTCTGCTAGCCATGGTATTTGCAGAGACTGTCCCCAACTCCCACACAGCAGAGCAGTTTGGAAGCATGGCATTTGGGCCAAATCTAACCTGCATACAGTTCTGGGTATATGTTGGGTCCATGTGTGTACGTGTTTGTGTTTGTGTATATTAGGACAGATGACAGCTGATAAGATCTTCTTTTTCCCTCATTGACCTAGAATTTACCCATTAGGCTATACTGGTTGGACCAGCCCCTGAGACCTGCCTATCTCTGCCTCCCCAGAACTGGGATTGCAATTGAGTATCATGATATCCATCTTTGTTTTATATGGGTTCTGGGGATCAAGTTGAAGCCCTCAAAGCTTGAAAAGCAAGCACATTACCAATTCAGAGAATTGTATAATCTCTTAGATGATTTCCTGAAACTTTTGCCCATGGTATTAATTTTTACGACTGTTTATTTTTGTTTATGTGCATGTGTGTGTGTAATGAGGGTTCTACTGTGTCTGAGGAAGGGTCTCCTTTCCTGGTGACTGCTATGCTGTAAACTGCAGGCTAACTAGTCCACAAGCTTCTGAGGAATTCTGTCTCCACCTCCCATCTTTTTTTTTTTTTTTTTTTTTTTTTTGGTTTTTCGAGACAGGGTTTCTCTGTTGTAGTTTTGGAGGCTGTCCTGGCACTCGCTCTGTGGACCAGGCTGGCCTCGAACTCACAGAGATCCGCCTGCCTCTGCCTCCCGAGTGCTGGAACTAAAGGCGTGCGCTACCAACGCCCGGCGTCCACCTCCCATCTTATCATAGGTCATTTACCACTATGTGGAGCTTTCTCATGGGTTTTGGAGGTCCAACCCTCAGGCTGACATGGCAAATGCTTTTTATCTGATGAATCATCTTCCCAGCTTGGATTCTGGTTTTAAATCAATACCAAAATAATCCAGTGCAAATACATCTAGAAGTTAATTATGTTTTAACGCAATATTTGGCCTACCTAAAATTAGTTATTTTTTAAATTTTATTTCATTTATAAGTGTGTGTGTGTGTGTGTGTGTCTGTGTCTGTGTCTGTATGTATAGATGCCATGCATGTGCAGTGTTCATGGTGCTCAGAAGAGGGCATCATATCCCCTGGAACTGGAATTAGAAGGGGTTGTGAGTCACCGTGTGTGAGTGCCAGGAATTGACCCTAGGTCCTCTGAAAGAGCAGCAAACTCTCTTATCTACTCAAACACCACTCCAGCCCTTTTGCCTAATTCCTTAGAACTCATAAGAAGTCCTGCAAATATGTGAATTAATCCTCCAATAATTTTTTTTTACAATTATTGTGGCAGAACTCTCAGCTACCTCTTGAGCACCATGTCTGTCCAAGTGCCCCCCTATTTCCCTCCATGATGATAGTGGACTAAAACATCTGAAACTGTAAGCCAGCCCCAGTTAAGTGTTTTCATTTATTAGATTCACTGTGGTCATGGCGTCCCCTCACAGCAACAGAAACCCTAACTAAGACAGTCCCTAGCTGAGCTTCTCTGCTTTGTCTGCTTGCACTAAGACAGTCCCTAGCTGAGCTTCTCTTCTCTGCTTTGTCTGCTGTCTCCTAGGTCCCACTAGGATCCCCTGTGCCCAGTGAGCTCAGTTAAACGTGATCCCCACCACTCCCCCACCCTCTGTTGAGTCAGCGCTCACCTTGTCTGGGGCGGTCCTCTCCCTGGGCCTCCTTGCCACCCCAGTCCTCCTCTATCTGCCCACTGCTGTCCCACTGCCTTGAAGGTTTATCTAATTATCATCAATACAAAATCAGGAGTCAGGAATCAGAGAAGTAGGGGAGACACCACCATTGACTTCGGACCTCTTCCATTCCTTCCTCAAAAGAAGGCCGAGATCCTGTCTAAGCCCCATCTTACCACCTCCCCAGTCCTCCAAAACCTCTATGGTTAATTTTGGCCAACTAGTGGCTAGCTCCATCTTCTGATTCAAAACAAACCTTATTTTCAGAATGCAATCAAAACATCACATCTTGCTGCTTTCTTGAAGTTTAGTAGTCATGATACTGCTCTTCCCAAGCATACCAGCTTCAGAACTCCTGGACAACACAGTACAAACTCATCCTGGGCCCTAATTAGGAGTGTCTCTCTTCCATAAAAATAGCTTTATGGAGTGTACAAGGTCGCACATCTGGCAACTTATGCCTCTGCTGTCATTGTAAAGGAGAACACAAGAGTACACTTGGGTATTATGGACCATGGTGTGTTACTTATCCATGGGGTTGCTCCCACTCATGGAGCTTTGCAATAAGACTAGATGGGAGCAAGCTTTATTCATTGTATTCTTTCTTTTGCTAAAACTGACATCATAATGGAATGCTCCAAAGCCCAGCTCTGATGTGCTGTAACACCAGAGGCCCAGTGGTCTACAGTGTAGCCCCCTCCATAATCCAAGCCTCTGGACTCAACTGCCCAACTGCCTAGACATCATTAGATTCCATCAGGGATCCTAGTGGGACCTAAGGAGACAGCAGACAAAGCAGGGAGGAAGAGAAGCTCAGTTAGGGACTGTCTTAGTTAGGGTTTCTACTGCTGCGAGGAGACACCATGACCACGGCAAATCTTGTGATGGAATGGAGGCATCAGGAACCACTGGCTTCATGACTTACCACCCCAGAAAGATCAAAGGCAATACTTTTCCTGTGTCCATTGCCATTAGAGTTCTAAGCCTTCATGTGAAGACAGATTGCTTCACAATGAGTCTTGAGAACAGTGAAAGCTGAGGTCTCCTGTTTTCATGAGAAAAAAAAAATCTGAGGTCAACCAGAGTGACCAGAAATAGACTTTAGCAAGTGGGATTCTGCACTAGGATATAGAGTTATTGGAGAGGGGACTTTTTCCAGGCTGGTTCTTCCAGACGCCTCACATCTTCATCTGTTGTGAAGTTCCTTGCATCATGTCAGTTCATTGACAAATAAACCCACAGCGATTCCACTGTGATGAAAAAACTCACTGGAAGCTATGTTTCCTATGAATCCCTCTGTAAACAGGAGATTCCAAAAGCATAGATTTCACCAAAGAAATTTAAAAACGCGTGTGACCTGGTGGTGGTGGCGCATGCCTTTAATCCCCGCACTCAGGAGGCAGAGGCACTCAGATCTCTGTGAGTTCAAGGCTAGTCTGGTCCACAGAGCTACACAAAGAAACCCTGTCTCGAAACAAAACAAAACAAAAGTGAATGTGGCTTCAAGTGAGAGTACTGACATGAGCTTAGATCAGATATATGACTATATTACTGTAATGATTAGATTGGATATATGGCTACATTACTGTAATGCTACAAGCCAGTGTCAAGCACTATAAGGTACCCTATGAATATGCATGACTCTAATGTGTCAGTTAACATAGTGCAGGTTGTTTTTGCAGTACTATTCATGGTACTTAAATTATGGAACCAACCTAGGTATCCAATAACAGAGGGCTGGATAAAGAATATATATATATATATACATATACATATATATATATGTTCACACACACACACACACACACACACACACACGGATTTTTTTTCAGTCATGAAGAAAATTGTCAGAAAATGAATGCAACTGAAGATAACCACAATCAAATGAATTAAGCCAGCCTTTAGGAGGACAAATTTTTTCTTGTTTGCAGTTCCTAGATTTTATGTGTATGTATTTATGTGTATGTACATGGTATACAAGTAGGAATAAAACTGTCAGTGGGGCAAAGGGGACTCATGAGGGCGCAGAAAAGGTAGTGGGGGTGGTATGAGAGGAACTATGCTTAGCATACAATGTATACTTGCACAAAACCTCAGAAAGTTAAACAATAACCACTGTCAAGGTCAAGAAACCCTGAGAGACAGCAATGGATACATCTAGAATGACTGGATGGGATGTAAGAAAAGCTCCAAAACAATACAGAGAAACCCTGTCTTGGAAAAAAAGAAAGAAAGAAAGAAAGAAAGAAAGAAAGAAAGAAAGAAAGAAAGAAAAGAAAAGCAGCCTCAGCCTGGATTTCATGTGTGTTTCCAGCAGCACATGCACCCCCAGGGCTTTCAAACTGAGTGTGGGGCTCACTTTCAGGGCCCCTAACTAACACAAGCTCCTCCATCAACCTAATTTTCTGGTCTGGGATGTCTTCAGTCTTCCATTTGGCAGCTGTGTGTCCTTGGCTTTTATTTCATCCCCCTGTGATGGTTTGCTTATTTTGAAAACGGATTATTCTAATATCCACTCCCAAATCTCGTGGGATCACTTGGAGCTGGTGGTGAAAGGCCGTATAGGTTATGTTGCAAGAAGACAGAGGTTACCAGCTCAGCGTTGCTACAGCTGTGCTTCTAGGCTGGGTTGTGAAAAGAGGGCGGGACCAAAGAAAGTTCATGCACAGAGAGAGAGGGGGGGGGGAGGGAGGGAGGGAGGGAGAGAGAGGGAGAGAGACACAGAGACGCAGAGGGGGGAGAGAGAGAGAGAGGGAGGGAGGGAGGGAGGGAGGGAGGGAGAGAGAGACAGAGAGGGAGAGAGACACAGAGACGCAGAGGGGGGAGAGAGAGAGAGAGGGAGGGAGGGAGGGAGGGAGGGAGAGAGAGACAGAGAGGGAGAGAGACACAGAGACGCAGAGAGAGAGAGAGAGAGAGAGAGAGAGAGAGAGAGAGAGAGAGAGAGAGAGAGAGAAACTATTTGAAAGGGTTGGTTGGACGCATGGTTCAGTTGTCTGAGTATTTGCCTAACATGCATGAGGGCTCAGATTCAGTCTCCAGCACTGCTTAAGAACTGGAATTGGGCTCGAGGTGGTAATGTGCCCCCTTCCCCCTTAAAGATCTCTGTCCCAACGTGTCCCTCCTCCGCTGGGAGGACAGATCCCTAAGGGATAATTGCCTTGTGGCCTGCAGGTCTGGAGGAGGCTTTGGCCACAGGCGCCGCCTCCTGTTCTTGTTTACTTGTTGCCTCAGGAGACTGGAGACGCACGGAGACGCACCGGTGTCCCTGGCTCCGTGCACTGCAGCACTCAGGCTTCTTGGGTCCCAGCAGCATCTCGGGGGTACCAGCCAACATGAGCCACAGCAGCACCTCGGGCTCCGGGAGCCTGGAGCGCCCCAGCGACGCCTCACCGCCCGAGGTAGAGTCTCGGCTGCTGTTTTCTGGGAGGGGCACGGGAGCCTGCTGTTTGCTCAGTGTCCTGGGTGGGATTGAGGCAGCTCAGTTCCCACTGGGGCAGTGATCAGGAATGGCAGGTGGTGCCACGCTGCCTCTCTGGCCACTGAAATTGACTGAATTCCACCCAGTGACTTTTCCCCGTGGTTCTTCCCCCCTCCCTATCCCCAGGGAACAAAGGGATTGCTTCACTGAACCGAATTTTCCATTTGGAGCAGCTTTCTTCTAACCTGCAGGTGGTGTGATTAGCTCTGGGCCCCTCAAGGTCCTCCAGCCTACAGGCTCCTAACAGGTCCCCAAACAGTGTCGGTTGGAGCTATTTGCTCACTACTCCTAGGACTTAGAGGTGTCGCACTTCCACACAGGAATGGGAAAGTTCTAGACCTGCCTGGGCTTCTCCTCCGGGATTGTGTGTGTGTGTGTGTGTGTGTGTGTGTGTGTGTGTGTGTGTGTGTGTGTGTGTGTACTGCTTTTGGAATAAATCTAACCTAGGAGTTGCCCTCAGGACATACCCACTATATACATCCTTTGGGCAAAATTGGATTAAAAACATGGCTTGGATTTTCCAACATGCTACCAGAATTCAGTTATTTAGCAACCTGACTATCACCCCCTTTTAAGTTTCTCCAACTCTTCCCATGCTGTGGGGAACCAATATGCAAATACATCTAATTTTTCTTCTGACAACTTCATATTTGGTAATACATTTTATCTTAACGTAGTGTCTGTTCTCTGAGAATTAAGATGGTTGAATCATATAGGTGATACTCTTGTTATGAATATATTTTTAGTGAGACCATTCAAAGTCAACCACAGATCCTAATCCCAAGTATATTCTTGTAAGAATAAGGAAATTCACTGAAGTGCAATGATTATAATAATATTATCTAATGTATATTATCTGCTAGATTTTCACTGTTATCCCAAGTGTAAGATATTACCCTCACACACACCACACACAATATGTTTAATGTCTTTAAATTTGAACCAGCTCCTCAGATTTCTGCAGCTGTGACTTCCTAAGAGCTGATTATTGGTAGGGGACTACTTAGGATATTCTGCGTCTTGGTACATTACTTCAGGAGATGTGTATATCAGTATGGCTGTTATTACTGATGTTCCCAACAATCCCAACAATCTAGCGGATGCTTCCATTGTACGATTCCCCTCTGTGATAAGTAAACAATTGTAGGTGGTGGGATGATGGCTCAGTGGTTTATAGCATGTGTTGACCTTACGTTGACATGCTGGCTCACAACCATCTGTCACTCTAGTTCTATTGGACTCACCACCCTCTACTGGCCTCCGTGGGCACCAGATTTGCACACACACACACACACACATATACTTGGCAACACATTCTTATGCATAAAAACATTTGTTTAATGATCATAATCATCATAATTGTGAAATTGTCTTTTAGGATAAGCCCTGATCTACATAAAGGAAAACTTTTGCTCTACCTGGGATTTGAGCTGGCTTGGAAGAAATAGACTTTATTGAGAAGGGTGGAAACAAAAAAGCCAGCATTTATTACAGTTAGAATTCGAGTTTATAAAATATTTCATCTAAGATAATCTTAGGTAGATAATAAAGACAGGACGTTTTGAATTAGATAGTTGGGTTGCTCAGGTGACAAAAGATGCAACTAAGACTTAACTGTCTTCTGAAAATTTTATGCATTTCCTGCTGTGCTGCACTGCAAAATGGATTAAAATACAAAGCATGGATAGGAGGCCCCTTTCTGATAGTGGGGACCCAGGTTTGGAACAAAAGCGGGGTTCAAGAAATCCCGAGTATTCTACTTCTTCAGAATATTTTGGTTAAAATTCTTCAGGATGTTAGAACTTGAATGTTCTCACCAGAAATATGATGCACTAGTTAGCTTTTTTTTTTTTTCTGTGATTAAATATCACGACCAAAAATGGCTTATGGAAGAAGGAATTGATTTGGGCTTTTGGTTCCAGAGTGAGAGTCCATATTGAGCGGGAAGCATGGCAGCAAGCAGCTGGAGCCAGGAGATGATAGATCACATCTTCAAACAGACACAGAGAAAAGCAGAAAGAGCAAACCGGAAGTGAGGTTGTGCTGTAAATTCTCAAAGCCCACCCCAGTGACATGCTTCTTCCAGCAAGGCTCCACTTCCTACGGGTTCCAAAGCCTCCCCAAACAGTGCTATCAACAGGCGACCATGTGTTCAAATATGGAAGCTGGTGTGGGGGTGGGGCGGTAGGGGTGGGGGGGGCGGAGGTGGGGGTGGAGGGTAGGGCGGGCGACCTACCACACACGTGGATCATAATATCACACAGTATCTTTTGGGGATTTCACAGTTCATGTATGAAGGGCACGTCACAGGGTGTCTGCTGTGATACTAATTAAAATTAACCGTTAGTGTCCCTACTGCTCTGCCACTGATGTTTCAACCAGTAGCTCTGCCGCCACCTCAGCAATCCATTTCTTGAGGACCCAAGGGTGAGGCTGAAGCTAGAAAAAGAAATGCACTTTTGCTTTTCCTAGAAAGCTAGAGCTCGTGGTTAAGGGAATTGGAGCCATGGAAGGGATGCTGCTTCTCCCTTGTCACTTCCGGGAGGCCGATTCCATGCCAAGATTTTCTCAGTTTAATTTACCAGACTCAAATCCCCAACTGGGAGAGCGTCACACACCTAAAAAATGTGAGAGCTGTGGGCGATGTAGCTTCTCAGGCAGAGAGGGGAGCGCCATGCTTTTGGAGAGTTCTTAAACAGCTTGGTAGAAGCATGGGTCCCCTGCATTTGCTACCCAAGGATGGGGTACTGGCAACAATCTTCAACAGCTGTAAAGCAGGGATTTAGTAAAAGGAGTTTTGATTTCTTGTTGGGGCCACTTTGCAACTTTGCTGTTTTCACACATTTAGAGACTCTGAATGGAAATTATGACCCCAGTAGGAGCTTCTATTGGGAAATGGAGCAGGTCTCTTTCCTGTGTGCGTTGTAGGGCCTGGAGAGATGGCTCAGTGGTTAGCAGAGCTGGTTGCTGGTATAGAGGACCCGGCACATAAGGAGCCAAACGACTGAATATGTTGTGGCAAAAATGTCACTTGAAGTGATGATAAAGATTACTATCTTAAAAGGAAAAAGATTTCATTCACCAGGAAATTGTAACAGTTCTAAATGTATATTCAGGAAATAGTATAGCCCCCAAATACAAGAAAAAAACCAGGTAGATCTGTTAGGATGAACAGACAAACCCATGTGAGGTAGCACATGTCCTTTCTTTTGAAACTGAACATTGTGTGAGTGTGTGTGTGTGTATGTGTGAGTGTGTGTGTGTGTGTGTGTGAGTGTGTGTGTGTGTGAGTGTGTGTGTGTGTATCTTTAGACTATGAAATAATTAGACCTAGAAGTACTTCATTGGTAGGGACTGAATGAGATGAGATCTTCATGCTGTTATGAACAAAGGAAAGCTATCAAATCATTTGAGAACGTTAGATAACCCAACTTTAGGAGAATTCTACAAAATCCTGGCCCTGAGGGAAATCTGAGGGGGCGTGGAAACCAGATGTTAATATGGGAGCCTGCATTGGCTACTGGTCAGGAAAGGCCATTACTGCAAACCCTGGCAGAGCTGGAACAAGGTCAGCAGAGCAGGAATACCGTTACAATCTGAGTTCATAGCTTCCATAAATGTGCAACAAGCTGTTTGCAGGGAGGCTGGGGAGATAGTTGTCTTTGATCAGAAAGTCTTTGTTCAAGTTCTGCAACATTTCCAAAATTCTAAGTCATGTCAGAGTAAAACAGCCAAGAGATAAATGAATAAATGATGACAGGTCTGTTCATTTACACGTCTGACTTTGAGATTTTTATTATAACATTCATCTTCTTTTGGCACCTATTCTCCAACCACCTGGTTTCAGAATGTAGTGTGAGATAACATCTTCAAAAAATGGGTAGGACTTTTTGAACACCAAAGTGATATTCGTTTCTTTTTCACAACATGCTTTAAAGAGATCTTCTTTACTTAGTTTCAGCAAATAGAATGTGGATGTGTTTCCAACAGTAGTGAATGCTTCTTGGTTTGTACTTGAATTAAGTTGATGAATTTTCCTTTTTCCCTGCTCAAGGACAACTTGCTTAAAAAAAACTGTACAAGGGAGTAATATGGGTTACACAAGGAATTATTTATGCCTTTTTTTTTCTGCTCAAGGTTTCATGCTTTCTTTGTTTTGCTTGTAGTTTGTTTTCTCCTTTGAAACTGGTTTGTTGACAGTTTTGATCCAGGGGTAGGGAAGTTCAAAGGCATTGCTGAAATGGACTAGGATACCTCTCTCTTTCAGTTACTGATAAGCCAGCCCTGCTGGTGGCTACAGTTTAGGTATCAAGATATATATTGCTTGAATAACTAAAGGGTGCTTATAAAATTATCAAATGGAATAAATAAATATCTCTGTAGGATAGTAGGGAGGTTATTAGTTCACAAAATACATACCTACTTTATATTTCTGAGTAACCCAAATGATTTCCTTCTCATTGAGTTTTCCTTTATATTTTTCTTCTCAAGCCTTCCCCATAGATATTCATTTTCAGAAATGTGGCTTTTGGCAGATGAAGGTCAACATATTGTAAACCCAGTGTCAATGCCAAAGGCAAGAGTCTTAAAATCCAATGGTAATTAGGGTTATCTCTGTAAATCTCTTTGAATTGGACTCAAAGCTGCGAATGGTAGGATTTCTGATAGGAAGTTTTGATGTTGAGCCTAAATGTTTGAATTAAAAAATGAGAACTTATGAAGAAGTAGGAACCACAGGTTTTGCTAGTGAGTTGTTGGACTAGTCAGTCACAGAGCCACAGTCTCAGTCACACTGTGACACAGCAAAGACACAAGAGTCCCTTCCTGCTGCAACGGTAGGGCCTGTCTTAAAGTCCCAGTCTCATAAAAGTCGTAGATGAGTAAGACAAAGGAGTTTACTAAAGAGCTAAGCAATAGAGA